GCCCGCCTGCACACCCTCCCATTCAGCCAGACCCCTGCCCAGGCCGCCTGTGCGCCCTCCCATTCAGCCAGACCCCTGCCCAGGCCGCCTGCACGCCCTCCCATTCAGCCAGACCCCGCACGGCCGGCCCCGGCGGGCGCCAGGGATGGGCACACCCAGGCCCAGAGGGTGGGGCCGCGATTCCACCACTGAAATTCACGGTGCCACAGGGACCTTCTGGGGCCTTCCAGGGGCTGGGAGGATCCATGGTCATTGTCACCCCCACCCCCCTCCCCCCAACACACACACACACACACACACACACACACACACACACACACCCTCAGCAAAGCGGGGGACCTCCGTCCGGCTGTGTGAACCTGGGCAAGTGGCTCCCTGTCTCGGCGCCCATTTGTGCGTCTGTAAAATGGGAGGCTGGGCTGTCCTGGCTCCTGGGTGCCCCTCCGTGGGAGGCCGCTCCCTGACAGGAGCACCTCACAGAGGCCGCTTACGGTGTGGGGACCTGGTGGGGTTGGGTGCTGCGTGCTGCCATCCTGGCTGGCCTGGCGGGCGGCGGGCGGCATCACCCTGGGCTACGGTCGCAGCCGTCTCATTCTGGCCAGATCGACATGCTGCAGGCGGAGGTGACCGCCTTGAAGACACTGGTCATCACGTCCACGCCCGCCTCTCCCAACCGCGAGCTGCACCCTCAGCTGCTGAGCCCTACCAAGGCCGGGCCCCGCAAGGGCCACTTGCGCCATAAGAGCACCAGCAGCGCCCTCTGCCCCATCGCGTGCCCTGCTGCAGGCCACATCCTCACCCCGGACAAGGAAGGCAAAGAGGTGAGGGGGCGGAGGGCGGGCTGTGGGTACTGTCCCACTGTCAGGCAGGCAAGGGGGCCTGGTGGACCAGGCCTGACACCCCCCCGCCCCTCCGCTGTGTGGCCTGGGGCCTGCCCTGCCCTCTCTGGGCGTCTGTGTCCTCTGGCCACGAGGGCTGGGCAGCTCCTTGTAAAATGAGACCTATGGCCCTCAGCTCCCGGTGTGCAATCTGGGGGCCTGGCACCCTCCCATTCCCACGCCGTAGGCGGCGTCCCTGCACCGAGCTGCCTCGGGCCCGAGTGCCTGCCCTCCGGCGGCGGCGGTGCTGGGCCTCTGCGGAGGCCACCTGGGCCCGTGTGGCCGCAGCCCTGAGGCCGGGACCACCTTGTGACCCCCCTGCACTTGAGGGCCCTGGGGACCCCCTGGCTGTGGTGCCGGGACAAGCGTGGCCTTTGGGGGGCTGTCTCCCCCCTCAGCTGGGTGCATGGAGTACGAGCTTCAGGTTGGACGATGGCCTAGGATGCCCGTGGCCGTGGTCCTCGGCAAGTGGGGACACCTGTCGGTGCCTCGGCTTCCTCACGTGGGGGGTGGGGGCTCCTGGGCGCAGAGGAGTCGAAGAGCGTGGAGCCAGGAGCTCAGCTTGAGGCCGTACCCAGCCAGCGCCCACGGGGGCTCCAGTGGGATCGGGCTTCCTGGGGTCTCCGATGGCCAGGTGGCCCCCAACCCCGCCCCGTCCCGTGTCTCAGCGCGTCCGGGGAGGAGCGCAGCTGGGCGTCTCGTCCCCCTTCTGAGTCCTAAGCATCTGGCCGATCACTAACCTCTGCTCCTTCCTCTGTCTCGTGCACCTGCTGTCTGTCTGCCCTGCTGGCCCCGCCCGCCCAGCCCGGGCTGCCCCCCCTCCTGTCCCTGCTCCTCTGTGTGGTCCCCAGTAAGGCGGTCCACCTCACCTACGAGCCGGCCTGGCAGCTCCCGCCTGGGGAGCCGCCCGCAGCCCCCACCTCTGCTTCCTCTCTCTCCTGTTCCCGACAGGTAATGGCTCCAGAGGGCCCCCCTCTGTCCCTCTGCCTCACTCACTCTGCATGCACCCGAGCGCCCGTGTTCCCTCCCGTGTGCGCGTGCTTGCGTGTGCAGGGCCTGGTGTGCCTGTGGGGTCGCTCCAGCTCTTCCTCCTGGAGGAGGCGGGGTTCTTTCCCATGAGGCCTGGGCCAGGTGTGTCCGCAGCGCGGGGCGCCGAGACACAGCGCAGGGAGGCCGAGCTGGCCAGTGGCTGGTGCAGAGGGAGAGCTCCTCTCGGGGCTGGGCTCTCCCAAGGGCCCTGGGACACCTCGCATGCTGCAGCCGGCCCTGTCCTCCCTGCTCCCACCTCCTCGGCTCTGCCCGTCCCGTCTCTGCCGTGCTGGGCCCCGCGCCCTGACCGCCCACCGCGCTCCCTGCCCCGCAGGTAGACACCACCCTGTTTGCAGAGTTCCGGGCCTGGAGGGAGTCGCCCACCTTGGACAAGAACAGCCCCTTCCTGGGGAGGGTGTACCGCGAGGACGTGGGGCCCTGCCTGGACTTCACGGTGCAGGAGGTGAGCGGGCGGAGGGCAGCCGGCCGGGCCCAGCCCCTCCGCCCGGCCGCCCTCACCGCCCAACCGCGTCCTGGTCTGCGCAGCTCTCGGCACTGGTGCGGGCTGCCGTGGAGGACAACACGCTCACCATCGAGCCCGTGGCTTCGCACACCCCGCCCACAGTGAAGGCGCCCGCAGCTGAATACGGCAGCACCAAGTAAGGCCGGCTCCCGCCCCCGCCTCCTGCCCTCCCCCCACCGGCCCTGCCGAGGGCCTGGCCAGGGAGGACGAGCTCTGCCTGCCCGAGGGAGCTCTGGAGCGGCTCCGGGGGGGGGGGGGGGCAGGGGGGCCGGGTACAGGGGCACCTGACAGAAGAGGGCAGTGGCTCTGCCCACTGACCATCCTGCCCCTAGTCACGGACCCCAGGCTCTCCGGGGAGTCTGGGAGCTGGGCCCCCCTCTTCCTGGCTGGCCTGATGCACCCTCTCCCACCCCCTCTCTCCCACAGTGGGTTCCGGGCCCCGATTGACATGTAAGTGATGTCAGTTGCCAGCTCTGCCTTCTGCTCCTAAGTGGCCCAGTGGCCCTGGCACCTCGTCCTTCCTGCTGCTCAGGCCGCGCTGAGCGGGGCTAGAGCAGAACCACGTGGCCTGGCGGAGCAAGGGCGGAGCTTGGGGAGCAGGCCCCCTCGGCAGCCAGGGGTGGGAGCCTCCTTATCGAGGGGGCATGTGAGGCAGGTTTGCAGGGTGAAAGCAGTTTGCCAAGGAGGGGAGGGCCTTCCAGGCGGAGGGAGCTGGATGAGTACAGGCAGGAGATGCTGGGGTATCAACGGAAACACCTCCGAGTGGGTGGGTGGAGCAGTGGGCGGGCAGGGAGGTGGGGCTGAGGCTGGAGCCAGAGTGGAAGGTTCTCCAATGAATGAGACCTGGGCTTTAACCTGCTAGGCCAGCCTTTCCCAAACCACCAAGAGATGTCCCTGAAAAGAGGGTTCGCTGGTCCAAGCGGAGAGCCACAGCGACCCTGGAGGCAGCAAAGGCTCTGATAAGTCCCGCAGCCAAGCAGCCTGTTTAACCTTTCTTTGCTCGGGATTCTCCACGGCTATTTCCTGGGCAGTGGGGAGCAGCAGGGAAAGATGGGGGGCTAGATGTGGAGCGTTAGCGGCGCCTGGCTCCTTGGCACCCGCGGCCACGTGAAGAAGAAGAAGGCACAGGGCTGCCTAGGAGCTGAGGGGAGCCGGCAAAAGGCCCTGCTGGCGTGACCCGGCCTGGGGCCTTGGTGACTAAGTGGAGGAGAGAGTGGACTCCTGCTTAGTCCGGGGAAGGGGTGATGGTCTGAGGCCCCAGTAAAGTCGGAGAGGCATCTTTTTTTTAAATATATATATATATGTTTTATTGATTTTTTACAGAGAATAAGGGAGAGGGATAGAGAGTTAGAAATATCGATGAGAGAGAAACATCGATCAGCCGCCTCCTGCACACCCCCTACTGGGGATGTGCCCGCAACCAAGGTACATGCCCTTGACTGGAATCGAACCCGGGACCCTTCAGTCCGCAGGCCGACGCTCTATCCACTGAGCCAAACTGGCCAGGGCTGGAGAGGCATCTTAGGGGCTCCTCGGTACACCTGGCATGAGGTTGCCCGCGTTCTCCCGCCCACGAGGGGTAAGGGGAGGGGTTGGGGGGTCCATCCCAGGGAGCCCTTGGCCTGCTCTATCCTTGGCTTGGCCCTGGGCTCCTTGGGAGTCTGGGCCTGGGGAAAGGACGCCAGGTCCGCCCCGTCTGTCTGCTGCCCCTCCCACTGTGCCTTCTCCCGGCTGCGCATCCCCCGCATGAGCTGGCGGGTGAGCCCAGCCGGCCCCATGGCCCCTCTGCTTCCCCAGCACGTGTGCCCTGAGCGGGTTGGCCCGTGCCTGTCGCCACCGAATCCGGCTCGGGGACTCCGAGAGTCACTACTACATCTCGCCATCGTCCCGGGCCAGGGTGAGTCACCCGTTTAGAGCATCGCTTGGCTCCTGAGGGGCCCCCTGGGCTGGGACTCTGGGCCCCGGCCTTGACCCACAGGGCAGGCTCAGAGAGGTGCGGGGACTGATCGGGCCGCACAGCCCAGCCAGGTGTCCTGGTTGGCTCTGGCTGCAGAACAAGTTACCACGCACGCCGTGGCTCCCAACACCCGTTCATTCTCCTCCCCCCGGGTCAGGCGTCTGGGCCCCACTTAGCGGGGCGCCCGGCTCAGGTCTCCTGGGCGGCAGCCAAGGTGGGCGCCGGCTGCCTCCTATCTGGAGACCGGCGTCCTCTCCCGAGTGCGTGTGGCCGTTGGCGGAACCCGGTGCCTCTGTGGCTGAAGGACTAGGTGCCCGTGTTCTCACTGGCCAAGACGTAATCCTGGGTGCCACCTGCACCTGTGTTGTTTAATGTCCCCGGATAAAGGCAGTGGCCTGGAGGTCAGACTACAGTCCTGGCGCCTGCGCCAGCCTTCGCTCCAGCCCCGGCTTTGGGGGGGTCCTGAGGCGTGTTTGTCACAAAGCCCGCCGTCAGCGCTGGCCAGGGGGCCCTCTAGGACTCCCAGCCCTGCCCCCTGTTGCCGTGTGACCGGGCTGATGGGGGGGGGCCTCGCCGAGCTGGGGGTAAGGGTGGGGTGGTCCCCCACTCTTCCGTCCCCTCATGGACGGCGAAGAGGGTTGTAGGGGGCAGAGGAGAAGGAGCTTGGTGCGAAGGCGGCCTCGTGCGGGCGGCGTCGGAGGAAACTCCTCCCCTTGGCCTCCTAGGGGCGCTTGTGGGGTCTGAATGGACTGACAGCCGCGTCCTTGGCAGCAGGCTGGCCGGTGCGGGCAGCGTGTCTGTCCGACAGCTTCCGCAGGGCACCGAGCATGTCGTCCCGGTGGGGACCCCCCGGAGTGAGCTGACTCATTTCCCCAAAGGGCGTCTGAGCCTTAGAGAGGAGGGGTGTGCCTGGGCCGCTCAGCGCCGGGTCTCCCCGCTCGGAGTCCGCAGAAGGACGCGCGGACATCCCCGTGCCCGGCCAAGTCACCTTCAGGACTTGGTTCCTTCAGGCCTGGCGCCCGCTCTGGCCTGGGGGATGAGGAGGGGGACGTTTTAAGAGGGGAGACCGAGGAAGGGATGCCGTGGGAATGGCACCAGGGGGGGGCCCTTCGGCAAGGGCACCATCTATGTGCAGGTGCATCAGGCTAGGCAGATGCTTTTTATTTCGGAGGTCTTA